AACAGAAGTTCCAACTGATGGTGTGTCAACACAAGCTCCAACTGATGCTGCTGAATCTACACAACGTCCAACTGATGTTGCTGAATCAACACAAGCTCCAACTGATGCTGCTCTATATTACGTCAACGTAAAAATTGTGAACAACTATGGTTATAATGTTGATGTACGCAGTAACACAGGTGTCATTCAGGATGTTATGGTGCTTGCTGGTACCGTGCGTGAAATTGAGGAGACAACGAACTTCGCCGAATATTTCGTTATACGCATTTATGATAGCCGTGATGGAATTCCAATTCTGATTGATGGTGAAAGCTATGTAAGAGTTACTCCCAAGTCCTCACCACAGTATCAGTACAATATTGTGGTTGAACCTGGTAAGTTATGAGTGATGATACAATTCCCACATTGTTTACAAGCTTTAAGCCTGTTTTAATTATGCATATTGGAGAAAGCACTTGTTATCCAGCACATCTTTACCCAGCTGCACAATCTCTACGGTCTACTTTGCTTTCGCTCATTAAATATTATCCTACGATGTAGTTTATGGAAATATTGTTGTGTAGTTCATTTTGGCCAATGCTTCTTGACATTCATTTTTCCCATTTTCTGGATGAAGTTTGAGACATATGTGAGCAACAATTAGTTCCTCATATCCTTGTAATTCATTCTATTTGATTAGGTGAAATAAAATTCTATGTGGTGTTCTTGCTTCTCAATAACTATGATGGTGATGTTGTTGTTTCAACTGGTCTTCCTGGAACATCGGGTGAGATTACAATGAAGCCAGGTGAAACGGTAGCAGTGAGTGAACAACCAAACAATAACAACCCTATCTCAGTGACAGCTGCAGTGGCCAAAGGAACCACTGGAAAAGTCAACATCAATGGACAAAGCAGTGTTTCTATCACACCTGCTGAAATATTTGGTGCTTCATTCCAAGTTCTGTTTATATATCGTGAAGACCCGAGTAAGTAATTTTTTTTCTCTACTTGTTCTACTGATTACCATGCCGAATATTATTTATAGCGGACTTATTTGTCATCAGAAAGGGATTTTGTATATTCCGGTTTGAATTTTAATGCTTGTAAAAATGGGTACTGAAATTTTTCTCTTTTCATTTTATTCATGGTAATTTGGATTAAAAATGCGAGTGAAGTATTTCTACGTTTCTTTCGCTACAGAAATAATTTCTTAATTTGCTCTTTATCTTTTCCAGTTCCAACACCAGCTCCAGGAGAACCAGTGTATTACGTCACCTTCATTATCACTAACACCTACGGTAAAGATGTCTACTTGAGAACTAGTCTCCCATCACCATATAACACAATCATTATTATAAATGGTAAAACGGTCAGAATGTCAATCAAAGTTCTAACACAACAAGACGTTACATTTGAAGCCTTCGTCAGGGAAACGGAAGAAAATATTACAATAAATGGTCAAGACATGTTCACGATCACACCACGAGACAGTCCAGGCGAACCGATTGTGTTGAACCTTCCTGAATTAATAGGTATGTGTGTGGTTGTTTTAATATCCTTTATTAGTAGTGAAACCTTCGCCGATGGTTGACATTTTGAGCATTATTGCAAATTATGTGAAATGCCACAAACTATATCAAAATTCAATATTCAGATTGTATACTTACACGTCTGGTTGATACAGTGGAGAACTTATCCAAGCAACGTTGTTTAGAAACGAATGTCGGGCGTACATAATGTTCAGATTTAATTATCGCTTCAGCAGTTCTCACTTGAAGTGGATAACTGTAGTCAATTAAATTTCACGTTTCTGGTTTCAAACAAGAACCCCTGTCGCTATTTATAACGGTTCACTTGACTTGTATCCAGGGTTCGTGACTTACAAAGCATTAGGTCTCTACTGACCTATGAGGTGCCATGCATCCTTTGATAATATGTAAGCACCGACAGTGGTATCTTCATATCCAGTTGTCTCGTTACAGCAGCCCCTCCAGTTGGTATCGTAACAACCCAAGGTCCAGTTATTCCTGCTACCACACAAGGTCCAACTGATGCTCCTGTGTCAACAAAACCTCCAACTGATGCTGCTGAATCAACAAAAGCTCCAACTGATGCTGCTGTATCGACAGAAGGTCCAACTGATGCTGTTGTCTCAACAGAAGCTCCAACTGATGTTGCTGTGTCAACAAAAGCTCCTACTGATGCCGCTATATCGACAGAACGTCCAACTGATGCTGTTGTCTCAACAGAAGCTCCAACTGATGTTGCTGTGTCAACAAAAGCTCCAACTGATGCCGCTATATCGACAGAAGGTCCAACTGATGCTGTTGTCTCAACAGAAGCTCCAACTGATGCTGCTGTGTCAACAAAAGCTCCAACTGATGATGCTGCTGTATCAACAGAAGCTCTAACTGATGCTGTTGTGTCAACAAAAGGTCCAACTGATGCTGTTGTCTCCACAGAAGCTTCCACTGATGCTGCTGTATCGACAGAAGGTCCAACTGATGCTGTTGTCTCAACAGAAGGTCCAACTGATGGTGTGTCAACGAAAGCTCCAACTGATGCTGCTGTATCGACAGAAGGTCCAACTGATGCTATTGTCTCAACAGAAGGTCCAACCGATGATATATCAACAGAAGCTCTAACTGATGCTGCTATGTCAACAAAAGCTCCAACTGATGCTGCTGTATCAACAGAAGCTCCAACTGATGCTGCTGTGTCAACAAAAGGTCCAACTGATGATGGGTTGACACAAGCTCCAACTGATGCTGTAACAACAAAATCGCCGTCAGTTCACACTGGAACTGGTAAGATTGTTATGGCTTTACTGTACTTAATTGCGTTTCATTTAGATTTGTGCTTAGACACTGCTCATCGGGGAAGCCAAAATAGAAAAGAAAATGCAGCAATGGTTCTTAATCTATAATCACCGTCCGGGGGGGGATCTCCTATAATACAAGGTTTTGAAGCGAGTATTGGATTTTGCTTGCTTTATATCAATAAAAATTTAGAAAAGTGCATTTCATTGGATGGCATAGAACTTTACCCCAACAATGAGCTTGACATCTTTGTTGCTCTTTGTTAAACATTAAAATAAGGGACCCAGAAAAAAACAATGAGAATTCAAAGAAAGACGGCGCGGGGTTTACACCCAGAAATACTGTATCTATGTTCTTTCAGGATCGGCCACGTTAGGATTGTCTCTTACTTGCTTTCTTAATTTCAGGGCCTGTTGTCGGAACTGATGTCGGTGCTGGCGAAGCATCAACAGTGCCTACTCAAGGTTAGCCCGTTTAGTTGAATATGGGAGAATGCTTTTGTAATTTAAATGCTTGGGCCGAAACCATTATGATCTACTGGCTGCTATATCATATGACGAACACCATTTTATGTGGGGGTTTTTTTCATCGTTTTATAGAAGCAACTGATGTTGTGTCAACAGAAGCTCGAACTGCTCCTAGGTCAACAGAAGCTCCAACTGATGCCGCTGTATCGTCACAAGCCCCAACTGATGCTGCTGAATCAACACAAGCTCCAACTGATGCTGCTGTATCAACACAAGCTCCAACTGATGCTGCTGTATCCACAGAAGGTCCAACTGATGGTGTTGTCTCAACAGAAGTTCCAACTGATGGTGTGTCAACACAAGCTCCAACTGATGTTGCTGTGTCAACAAAAGCTCCAACTGATGCTACTGTATCGACAGAAGGTCCAACTGATGCTGTTGTCCCAACAGAAGGTCCAACTGATGGTGTGTCAACAAAAGCGCCAACTGATGCTGCTGTATCCACAGAAGGTCCAACTGATGGTGTTGTCTCAACAGAAGTTCCAACTGATGGTGTGTCAACACAAGCTCCAACTGATGCTGCTGAATCTACACAACGTCCAACTGATGTTGCTGAATCAACACAAGCTCCAACTGATGCTGCTCTATATTACGTCAACGTAAAAATTGTGAACAACTATGGTTATAATGTTGATGTACGCAGTAACACAGGTGTCATTCAGGATGTTATGGTGCTTGCTGGTGCCGTGCGTGAAATTGAGGAGACAACGAACTCCGCCGAATATTTCGTTATACGCATTTATGATAGCCGTGATGGAATTCCAATTCTGATTGATGGTGAAAGCTATGTAAGAGTTACTCCCAAGTCCTCACCACAGTATCAGTACAATATTGTGGTTGAACCTGGTAAGTTATGAGTGATGATACAATTCCCACATTGTTTACAAGCTTTAAGCCTGTTTTAATTATGCATATTGGAGAAAGCACTTGTTATCCAGCACATCTTTACCCAGCTGCACAATCTCTACGGTCTACTTTGCTTTCGCTCATTAAATATTATCCTACGATGTAGTTTATGGAAATATTGTTGTGTAGTTCATTTTGGCCAATGCTTCTTGACATTCATTTTTCCCATTTTCTGGATGAAGTTTGAGACATATGTGAGCAACAATTAGTTCCTCATATCCTTGTAATTCATTCTATTTGATTAGGTGAAATAAAATTCTATGTGGTGTTCTTGCTTGTCAATAACTATGATGGTGATGTTGTTGTTTCAACTGGTCTTCCTGGAACATCGGGTGAGATTACAATGAAGCCAGGTGAAACGGTAGCAGTGAGTGAACAACCAAACAATAACAACCCTATCTCAGTGACAGCTGCAGTGGCCAAAGGAACCACTGGAAAAGTCAACATCAATCGACAAAGCAGTGTTTCTATCACACCTGCTGAAATATTTGGTGCTTCATTCCAAGTTCTGTTTATATATCGTGAAGACCCGAGTAAGTAATTTTTTTTCTCTACTTGTTCTACTGATTACAATGCCGAATATTTTTTATAGCGGACTTATTTGTCATCAGAAAGAGATTTTGTATATTCCGGTTTGAATTTTAATGCTTGTAAAAATGGGTACTGAAATTTTTCTCTTTTCATTTTATTCATGGTAATTTGGATTAAAAATGCGAGTGAAGTATTTCTACGTTTCTTTCGCTACAGAAATAATTTCTTAATTTGCTCTTTATCTTTTCCAGTTCCAACACCAGCTCCAGGAGAACCAGTGTATTACGTCACCTTCATTATCACTAACACCTACGGTAAAGATGTGTACTTGAGAACTAGTCTCCCATCGCCATATAACACAATCATTATTATAAATTGTAAAACGGTCAGAATGTCAATCAAAGTTCTAACACAACAAGACGTTACATTTGAAGCCTTCGTCAGGGAAACGGAAGAAAAGATTACAATAAATGGTCAAGACATGTTCACGATCACACCACGAGACAGTCCAGGCGAACCGATTGTGTTGAACCTTCCTGAATTAATAGGTATGTGTGTGGTTGTTTTAATATCCTTTATTAGTAGTGAAACCTTCGCCGATGGTTGACGTTTTGAGCATTATTGCAAATTATGTGAAATGCCACAAACTATATCAAAATTCAATATTCAGATTGTATACGTACACTTCTGGTTGATACAGTGGAGAACTTATCCAAGCAACGTTGTTTAGAAACGAATGTCGGGCGTACATAATGTTCGGATTTAATTATCGCTTCAGCAGTTCTCACTTGAAGTGGATAACTGTAGTCAATTAAATTTCACGTTTCTGGTTTCAAACAAGAACCCTGGCGCTATTTATAACGGTTCACTTGACTTGTATCCAGGGTTCGTGACTTACAAAGCATTAGGTCTCTGCTGACCTATGAGGTGCCATGCATCCTTTGATAATATGTAAGCACCGACAGTTGTATCTTCATATCCATTTGTCTCGTTACAGCAGCCCCTCCAGTTGGTATCGTAACAACCCAAGGTCCAGTTATTCCTGCTACCACACAAGGCCCAACTGATGCTGCTGAATCAACAAAAGCTCCAACTGATGCTGCTCTATCGACAGAAGGTCCAACTGATGCTGTTGTCTCGACAGAAGGTCCAACTGATGGTGTGTCAACAAAAGCTCCAACTGATGCTGCTTTGTCAACAAAAGGTCCAACTGATGCTGCTGTATCGACAGAAGGTCCAACTGATGCTGTTGTTTCAACGGAAACTCCAACTGATGCTGCTGTGTCAACAAGAGGTCCAACTGATGCTGCTGTATTAACAGAAGGTCCAACTGATGCTGTTGTCTCAACAGAAGCTCCAACTGATGTTGCTGTGTCAACAAAAGCTCCAACTGATGCTGCTATATCGACAGAAGGTCCAACTGATGCTGCTGTGTCAACAAAAGCTCCAACTGATGATGCTGCTGTATCAACAGAAGCTCCAACTGATGCTGCTATATCGACAGAAGGTCCAACTGATGCTGCTGTGTCAACAAAAGGTCCAACTGTTGCTGTTGTCTCAACAGAAGCTTCAACTGATGGTGCTGTATCGACAGAAGGTCCAACTGATGCTGTTGTCTCAACAGAAGGTCCAACTGATGGTGTGTCAACAAAAGCTCCAACTGATGCTGCTGGATCGACAGAAGGTCCAACTGATGCTGCTGTCTCAACACAAGCTTCAACTGATGGTGCTGAATCAACACAAGCTCCAACTGATGCTGCTGAATCAACACAAGCTTCAACTGATGCTGCTGAATCAACACAAGCTCCAACTGATGCTGCTGAATCAACACAAGCTTCAACTGACGGTGCTGAATCAACACAAGCTCCAACTGATGCTGCTGAATCAACACCAGCTGCAACTGATGCTGCTGAAACAACACAAGCTCCAACTGATGCTGCTGTCTCGACACAAGCTGCAACTGATGCTGCTGAAACAACACAATCTCCAACTGATGCTGCTGTGTCAACAGAAGGTGTTGCAACCACAACTCCCTCTCCGCCTGTTGAAATATCAACACCCGTGACAACAGGTTTGCAAATTTGAAATTTGTTTTTAGTAACAGTCGACTTGCGGATGTGCTGTTTCTGGCGCTCTTTACGTACTTTTCTAATAAACTGTGGTCGCTGTTTATATAGTATGTTTAAAACATAATTTATTTCCAACAAAAATATCCTGTTTAGTCGAGTTTGAAGCAATTAATAAAAGTGCAGGAGGTATTTCTAGTCTTTCTAACATCCTACAGTACTTTTCCCTACTTTCCTTCTGCTTTCCTACATTCAATCTCGGTACTGCATGCTTCATGTACTATTATTACGTTTGTTACTTTCTTATATCTGTAATTAGGAAACTTTGTGATATAATCAAGGTAAAGAAATGTTATTCCCGGATTATTCTTCTGTTAAGTTACTCCATACTCAAATAAGCCTGAATAATCCCCGCGGATGTGCCTGAAATAATTGAGCAGCATTACGGGTTTGTATACATACGATATTTAATATCAAAACCTCCATATCCAACGTCTTCCATCAAGAATTTTCTCAATGAACTTGCCTTTCTCGTTGTGTTTTAGAACCTGTTGCTTTCTACATCCCAATAATGGTAGTCAACAGATATCCTGGGCCAGGAGCTATTCGATTGAAGACGAATGTTCCGCCTCCGAATAGCTTTTTCAAGGTTGAACCTGGATCATCTCTGATGAAGATCATTGGTCTGACATCAGGTCGTCCAGTCTCGTTCAGTGCTTTCAGTATATTGGATAACAAGAAACTTCTGGTTAATGACATCCCAGTACTTGTGATCACACCGTACCAAGACTCCGAGAAACCGTACATCATACTTTATGTTACAGACCCCGAAGGTTTGTAAAAACGATTCAGTGAAGAAACATCAGCATAATAATTTGAGGCCTGTGTAGCTCAGTTGGTTAGAGCGGGGTCGCAGGGCCGCAAGTTCGATTCCTGTTAGGACCTCGCTTCTGTTCATGGTTAGGTCTAATAAATGTATATAAATTTGCGCTTGATTATTTCCATCAACAATAAGGGTATTTTGTTGACAATTGAGACTTGAGGGTATTTTGTTGATAGTTGCAAGAATTAACCATAACGTTGACAAATGTCTAAAGTTAATTTTCGGTTAGCTCTAAATTGTATATGTATTAAATCCATCCATATGCAGTTACATCGAACGAGATGTTCAAAAATCGTGATATTTACCTATAAACTGGCATGAACTCGTTGTATGTACAAGAACTTGTACTTAATGCTCGACGACTGGACTCTGTCTCTGTAGCTCATTGTTCAGAGAGCTGCAGCGACATCGCAGCACCTGAAGTAAGTTGGAACATAGCTGGGACACTTAATGTCAAACCTTTATTTTATTCATTCAGAGCTTGAAATGTCCCCTGTACAATTATACATCTACATTCATTTGCCCCCAAAATCTTGATATTTTGTCAAAGTATGTGTTGAGGAAAATTTGGCAAAAGAGACGATGAAGTGAATACTTACGATAAAACTACTGTTTTTCATTTTGTTTAGGACCCACAGTGTCGACTAGTCCACCCACAGTTTTGACTACACCAAGCAAGAAAGGTAATGTTCTTTACCACGACAATTGAGTAAACTACTTACATAGCAATGAAACATCTAATTAGCATTCTTTAAGATGTATTTTCGCCAACTCTTTAAATCTATGGTTGTAATCAAGCAAGGCAACAATGTTATCTTTGTATACTGTATTTGTTAGAATATTTCGCATCGATCGCCTAAAAAAGTTCGACCCGCTAGTATGTTATAAATAGTGGTAATTAGTTAGCTTATTACACATATTATTGTCATGTATGGCTAGTAAAATCTGATTGAGCCATACAAGTGGGTTTTTTGTGTAATAGGAATTTATTATCCAACTCAAAGACCACCTTCATCCTTCGAATGTGTATTTCCGACTCAGAGATCTATGGCTATGTAGATTGGATATTGAAGCAAATTCTTAAACAGTCTCTTCCTTCGGCTTCGCTACGGACATTCATACTCGAGACCAAAAGGAGTTTGATAATAACTGATTTCGTTAGAATTGGAATTGACATTTCCAATACATGTTTAGGCTGCATCAAAAAATCTGGTGAAACAGTCAAGATTGGAGAGGAATACTCCGAAGGAAATTGTAGCCGCTTATGTGTTTGCACATCAGACGGAATACAATGCCGAGCAATGTGTCCGATTAAGACTTTCAATTTATTGGACTGTAAATTACCTTATACGCTCAAGTTTATTGTCATTCCTGCTGGTCCTGAGAGACTTGCCTGTTTCTGCACGCGAGTTGACTGCGTACTCCCAGGTATAGGCCAACATTTGACGTTTGCTTCGCCATCCCCAGTAACAATTCAAGAAACAAAAGACACATTCTAAACCAAAAAGTAACTGTTGATTCGGCTTGAGAATAGGAAAATTACTTGACGGGGGTGTACCATCCGAAACTGGCCTTGAGGGAGAACTATTTTACTTTTCTTTGCGACGAGGATCTCTTTAGGTTCGTCAGTGGGAAGGGGGCGTGCACCAAGGAAAAGGGACCTAAATAGGAGGCAGTAAACAAAAAAATTCAAAGCTGTAGGGGAAAGGGGTTTGTTGGGACCACCTCAGAGGCTCAAGAATCTCTTGATTTCTTGCAGTTTCAGACACAACTTTCTGATGTACAGTATTTCATTCGCTAACCTGAGGTTTAGTCTCAGTTATTCTTCCCTCTTTGCTCACAAGGGCCAACTTGTTCTGTTCTTTACACAAAGCTCTGCATTCATTTACTTAAACCCGACTACCGAACAAAAACAAGGTAGTGAGATGAGACTTTAGTATTTCTAACATCAAAAAGTAGCTGCTCCTGCACTGTAAGTGCCCAATAATAACCTTTATGCATGTTTTACTGAATCAATCTCGGTATTTCTCGTTCTTTGAAGAAATATCGTCCGTATCTCTTATGTACTTTTAACATAACACCACATTCACTTATAAACATTTGGTGAAAATTTGGTCACTATCGGATTTATGGTACTGTACCTATATTTTCTTACGTTAATTTCTTACTTTTTCAGAAACACTTCCAACAACCAAACCTGAAGGTATGTCAAGAAATTCTTAATAATAAAATTCATGGCGCGATAATTACTCCGAAGGTTATTGCCTTGTACTTGAGCTGCTTAGTCAGTCTCTCACTCATTAGTGAGCGGATTTCCCAACAGGCTACTGCGCAATTGATAGGAGATCCGAGGTACCTACGATTTTTATGTCCTTATCCAAGAAGACGCGGAAGTCGGTTGTGTACTTACTTGAAAATATGAGCTAGAACAAGGAGCGCAAATGCATGTACAAACACTACAATCGACTCGAACATTTGCCAAGACATACCAGACTTATATATACACACAGTACACTTACGCTTTCAAATACATTGGGCTTGGTAAGTAAGGTCTTAGCAGCAAAAAGGTAAGTACGCATATAGTGAGAGTATTGCGTACCTGGATGGTACGAGATCATACAGTTACATTTTACATTTTTGCAAATTTTTCAATTTGTGATGAGATAAAGGGCTCTATAGCCAAGGCTATGCACTTTCCGGAAGGATCTATTATCGCACCTGAAATTTATTTTTTAGTTAACAATGTCAAACATCAGTTTTAGCTTTACTTGTTTTCTCCAATAAACAATAACTTATATTGAACTATTCATTTTAGTGTCAACCCCATTGTCGACGTTGCAACCCGGAGGTTAGTTCTACTCCTATTTATTTTATATTTCATTCTAATCCAAGGTTCTCAGCCCCTTGGACATCCTAGATTTCTATATTTTATTCTAATCCAAGGTTCTTAGCCCCTTGGAAATCCTACATTTCTAATTTAGTCTGGAAACTCCAGGAAAAGTTCTGGATATTCAAAGTGACTCCTGAAAAAGCCTGCAAAAGTGAACTTGTGCGAAAGTATTAAACGTTCTGTTTTAGTACGACTGATCAGAATAATTACAAAACTTTCTTGCCCATAGCATATTGATCTTTTTCGATAGTCGTACTACTTTATAGCGCTATTAGAGTGAAAAACTTGTCGACTATTGGCGAAATTATTTTTGTCATATTATTTCAAATGCAAGTAGAAAAGTTACGACAGAAAAAAGTTATTGGGGCGTAGGAACCGGGGGGCACACCCCCCCCCCCCCCATTTTTTCAAAGGACCCAAAGTGCCCTTTTTTGTGATGAAAAGTGCCCTTTTTGTACAAGCTAATGTCGCTGTAAATACTAAATTAACATCAAAGGCCCTTTTTGTTTGGAAATTTCGATGTTTTTAAAAAACAATTGGTCGAAAACGTGCAATTTCGGTATGGTATGACGGGAAAATTTTCCTTCCCCCCCCGCCCGGCTCCTACACTTCCAGGGAAAATTTGTTTTTAGGTGCCCTTTTCAATATCCAAAAGTGCCCCTGAAGCCGGTGCCCTACCCCCGCCCCCCAGTCTTTTGATGCTTCCTACGCCCCTGATTGTAAGTCGTGTGTTTTTAAAGTGTACGAACCTGCTAACCATTTGTTTATTGTCTTTAGTTATATACCACAATTCATTTTAATTCATTTTCTATATATTAAGTTATTTAATTATATTTTTTGTTTATATGTGTCCTGCAAACGTCTTTTTAGAACTCCCGGTTATCATAAGAAATCAGAAAACCACTGAAATTGTTCCAGCACGTAAGAAGCGGTACAAGACAGTTGTTGGTTCTTCAATATCATCGCCTGCTTCCATTGCTATTACTATCGTCTGTCAAGCAAATGGTGTGCCATCACCAACAATTAAATGGTCCCGAAATGGTGTTGTTCTTGAGCGCAGCACCAAGACTGTTAAGATTTTGAAAGGAGGACGTCTTCGAATCAAGTCTTTATCTGTCAATGAGATTGGACGCTATGAGTGCACCGCGAGTAATATTTTAGGAAGTGATAGCGCAATAAGCAGGATCAATATCAAGGGTAAGTTTGACTGAAATTCGACATTTAGTATTTATAGGAACAGAAATCACTAGTTAATATACTAAATGAAAGGGAAGAAACACATGAAGAAAAGAACAGATGTTCGGATAGAAGGAAGGGAGAGATGGAGAATGAAGGAACCTAGGAATGAAGTAGGGAAGGGGCGCGGGGATGATGGATGAGGGGTGCACCAAGAAAGATGGATGAGGGGTGCATCGGAACTATAATTTTCCAGGGTTCCCGTTTCAGCTAAAAAAGCATGGCCGGAACTAGAACCTGTCTTCATTAGGAAAAAATATATAAAGTTCTTGCACTGATAAACATCGACCAAATATTTGAACAGATCACATAACTGACATTTTAATTACATAGACATGCTACCATAGACACATACATATTCCAACATTTTAAGGGTGACAGCGGTCATATAATCATAAACGGTTAAATAAGCTGAGTCCTGGTTCCGGGCGGAACTTAAAATATTGGTTCGGGTGCTCCTCTAAGACAGTCCGATGGCTGGTGGAACGAATGGACGGACTTCTAAATTCAATTCCACAGTAATTTGATATTATAGTCATGTTTGTGTTTTCTTACAGTTCCTATTCGATACTTCCTTCCTATCTTCTTTTTCAACCGCCTGGACAAGGATGTCGTGATAACGACGACATTAAAAGCACCATATGGTAATCTATCTGTTGCGCCCAACGGCTCTTTCCGCTATGTACTGCGTCCACTAAACCCTGGCCATGTTTTAATCCACGCTACTGAAAAGGACTCTGGGAAAAGACTTTTGGTTAACAATAAAGAAACTGTTTCATTGCGTACAAATAGTTCACTTACTCGATATTGGCCTATTGATATTACTGCAGGTAGGATAGTGTCTCGTTAAATTGCTAACTTAATATTATACAGGATTTTAGGTATCTTATTCAGGTATCTGATTTTAGGTATCTTATTCAGTAGAATTAATGATGTAATACCTCATTAAATTGTGGTAATTAAATTGCCTGATTATGATCACGTGACATGGAATAAAATGCTGAGCATGCAATAGAACACGTTCCATTGCAGGCTCGGCCGTGCAATAACGTCAACCAGACCAATGTTGCTCAAAACACTTACTGTCTTTGTAACGACAAACCTTGTTTTACGACCAGCGACTGAAACAAATTGGAGACGACCTACCTTATTCTCAGATTTTGGGATTTACAACATCGCGTAATACAACTTACTGTTTACAGTTGAAACCATAATTCAACGTGATAAGTAGGATAAATTATATCCGTGATTTCTGCCAATCTGTTGATATCACGTACAGTATGTATGCAATAAGAGGAAACTCGCTAACTCAACGTTCCACCTCTGCTTATGTATGGGTCGATAGCAAAACCTTTGCTTGCACGAATTTTTTCGGCCGTCTGCTTGTTTTTCTTTACTTTCACCCTTTGCACGATTTCTTATTTTGTTTTCCTTTGCGCGAATTTTTTTGGGATCAATTGAAGTATACGACCCCCATAAATTAGTTCTCTAAAGAACTGCCTCGTTCTTTGATGAACCCCTTTTAATTTGCGAAAGACACTTTTAATTCATGAACTAGATCATTCACGAGCAAAAATAAGTAGGAGTTCTTAAGGAACGAGGCAGTTCTTTGGAGAAGTAACTTATGGGGGGGGGGGGTCGCATACTTCAACTGATCCTTTTTTTGTCCCTCCCCGCCATCACCTTTCTACTGGTTCGCTCCCAAAGTCTGCTTGCTGCCCTTGTCGACAGATCTTGGAAATATTTGGCCGTAATAATTTCTGCCTCTTCTGAATTTAGCTGCACCTGAACAGTATTACGTCTACCTGTATGTTGAAAACAAGTTCGCCAAGGATATCAGGCTGGTTACTTCACTGACAAACTTTAGGAATACAATTATTGAAGCTTCGAAGGGGATTGCACTCCGTTTCCCTACCACAAGTCAAGCCGCAGTAACCATCACTGCCTTCGATTCAGCCACTGGTCAACAAATCAAGATCAACAATCTGGACAGTATGACTGTCATTCCATCTCGGCAAACTGCTACACCAAAGATATTGAGCATTACAGCGCCAGGTAAGGTTTTACTAAATATTTGAAATCACCGAATATTATGTACTGCAAAAAAATTTTGACTCAAACTTCAGTACAATAATACACCACCACTCGAAATAATGAGTAAAATTACTCAAATTTATGAGCAAATTTACTAATTTTTCTTGTCAAAATTTTGTAACAACAGATCAATAGTTTGTTTAACCTTGTTGCCGTAGTTGTATCAACGCTTCTGTAATTACGTAAGATTTTCAAGATTCCTCATAGAAGATTGGCAAACATGTTGGTCAAATTTAGCGAAATATTTCCCATTCGCGCGGGCTCGTATTGTCAGCGCACAACTTACACAAAATGGCCAGTTCTATCATCTGGAAAATGCGAGTCTGCGCTGCTGGGAGAAAATTTCCTGAATATGACCAGCGTGAAAATTTTTCGAGAGTGAATTTGACATACGGTACTACAAGGTGTCCTACAAAAATGGTGTCCTAAAACAAATGCAGGGTGTCCCAAAAAAATGCGTCCTCTCTTGGGAATTGTTTTTGCTGATCCATCTGCTGTGTGTTGTTTTGCAAAATTGCAGTTGGTTGCCAGTTATTCCAACATATTAAAACATTTCAACATAGTGTACGAAAATGCAAATATGCATCAACTTTCCTTTTCCTCTTCAATCTTGGTTGGACAACAATTTACACCTGAGGAAAGCACGTTTATGGTGCTACTGTACCACAAAACAAGAGAGAGAGAGGGTATATTCGTTGAAATTTATAGCTAAATGCTATGAATATTTTTCTATTGAAAATAATGTATTTGAAAACTTACCTTTCAATAACTTTTCCAATAGCTGCCATAATTGCAATATTTTGACAAATAAAATACTGAGCAATAAATTAAACTTTTGTTAGGATATAATAATTAATAGCTTGCTTCTCACTTATATTTACAGGTCTACTAACGATGGCGGGAGGCATTTTTGGGGAGAAACACTGTATATCTTGGTTTCCAACATATTACATACGTTTTAGTATTTTGATAGGCTATATTTCTGTTTTTTATTTAGGCCAACCTGTTTCTTACTGGTTCTACATAGAGGCTACAAATAACCATCCTAGGGCGGTGGAGATGGTTACGACGATGCGTACACCCAATAATACATTCGATATTACACCTGGCAATATATTCAGAATGACTGTTAGAACCAACAGCCCAAACTCTATTATGTTCCGTGTTTATGATAAGAGCAATGGATTCCCAGTTATCATCAATGGAAAATTCTCTGTTAGGTTATCACCAACTCAATCCCTACAGTCGGGTCCTCAACAGTTGTATATCGGAGGTACGTTCGTAAAGCAATCATATCGCCACTGTATATTGATAGAATGACGCAAATTGGCCAGTGATTCTTAGTGGGATACTAGTAACGTAGCTAGCCTTGAGCAAGAAAGCCTGGGCGTTGCCTGGCCTTTATTTAGCGAAGGCCTGACCTGTACGATCCTTGGCTTGTGCATGCCGTTAGCTAAGCCTTGTGATAATGTTGTCACAATTACCTTGCCCTGCCTGATCTGATCTGGCCTGATCTTGGCTTGTCTCGCAGAACAGTGATTGCAGTTTGATTTTGTTATTTATGAAGACAAACCAGAATCTCTTTACTTTGTGTCAGTCGTCAGATCAAGCACATTCTACCTTCGAGCTGAGAACTCCTGACACTTACGTAAACAGAGTCAGTCGACGACGCAAATTGTTTTTATGAGCCAGAATGTGGCTGCCAGAGGGCAGAGTCCCCCCCCCCCCATCAGGGCAAGGTGTTAGATGGGTTAGGTGCCTCCGTTTAGGAGGGGTTAGAATAGGCGGGGTGGGGTGAGGGGCAGATTTTGAGAGTGCACCTGTATGCATCTTAAAAATGACGAGACATGCTTGTTTCCTATATTGTAAAGCAGCATGCAGTACATGCATACGTAAGTTGTGTTTCTCTTTTTTTTCATCTCTACAGCGCAACCAAAGAAAAAACTGTATGTTTCCTATTACATCACGAACAATTACGCAAATCCAATCAATATTAAGACCAACTCTTCTCAGCATCCTGTACTTCCCTCTGTTCAGCCTGGTGGAACAACAAAAATGCAGCTACCTTTATCAGCAACTCTAGCCATTCGAGTCTTTGATGCTTTGACTGATCAACCTCAAAGGATCAACGGGCAGACAGTTGTGTATATAAAACCCACAGCAGATGTGAATTCTTATGTTCGTTTGTATGTTCCATTCAGAATCACAGGTAGGGATTATGTACAGTACACTTTAAAGACAATACTTCGCAATAGGCAATTCCAGCTTTTAGTTTATGCCTGCAGGGGATGATGGGAAGTAAGGTATCATATTGCTGATTTGCTGAAAAATTTCAATAAAAACTACCGAAACAACCGAAATATTACAATATTTACAAGTGTAAGCTATCACTCCGTGTTTACACGGCCACCATTTTTATTTTTTCAGCATAATAAGCTATGTGATACCTTACTTCCCATCGTCCACTGCACGCATAAGCTAAAAGCTGGAATTGCCTATTGCCCTATATATAGTGAAACATAGATGCCTGTAAATGAATTATTGCTTGCATCAACGTCTTTATTTTTAAGGTGATGTAATGTATGCAAAAATATGTTAAATTAACAGTATGTGTATTAACCGTGCTTTTTCTGCCATAATAATATACATAAAAAAATATTAATCACTTGCTAATCGCTGTGCAATTTTATCGAAATACAATGCCCAAAAAGAAATTCATTGCTGAGGAAAAGATTTGCATGGCAAGCTCATAAACAAGTGCCATTTTGAATAACGTTTTGATTGTTGAAAACCTGTCAAGTTGTTGAGCGCTATTCAAAACGTCAAATTATACGCGTTCAAAACTAATTCTTGCGTGTGCTTTTTTCTACATTCAACTCAAAGCCATATTAATACCTATACAAACGATTGCTTGTAAAGCTGTAATCACTGGACGAACTTATCGCCCGTATTACCGTATTACTTAGTATCCGTATTACCCTTTCTCACGAAGGCGAAAGTACCGCAATTTTGGGGGTACTGTCTGCCCTCGTGAAAGATTCTAGACAATTCAAACAACGTGAAAAGCGACTTTTAAAAGTTCTAACTATAAATTTACCATAATACAAACAACAACAACTATAATACTAAAAAGTCGCATTTCGTGACGCGGAAACTCTCAAACGTGGGTGAGGCAGTACCCCAAAAATGGCGGGAAAATCGGCCGTAAGAGGCTAATTCCACATTCACCATTCTTGTAAATGTCGAGTGTTGTATTACTCCAAGATTCCTCCTACATTTTAAATACTTAAATTTTTTTCAAAAAAATGCGGTAATTGCCATAAATCCATAAAATTGCCCTCAAAATCGAGCCAAAATGTCCTTTAAATTTTGCTGGAAATTCCGAAAAAAATCCCGGAATACAATGCAGGGATTTTGAAATGTCAAGAATATTTGAAGAAGCTATTTTTCAGAGTGAAACACCCTCGGTGGCCATATTATATACCACGAACGTATAAACATCATTAATTATAAAAAAAATCATCATATTAATTGTAACAATTTTGATCGTTATAGCCACTCAACCTCCTTCTGGTAAAAGATACTACGTTGCGTTTAGCGTTAGAAATAACAACCAACGAGAGATCACAGTTCGAACAACCCTTGCTGAACCTTACCAACTGTTCCATGTCCGACCTTCTGACACGTTTACAATAAACGTAGCACATGACAGCGCTCAACCTGTCGTTATACAAGCTGTGGATCGTACAACCGGCACTCCGATTACACTGAATGGCAAACAGTCGATTACTCTCATACCGCAAGCTACGCCCGCTGTGCCACAGCTCTACAGTGCTCCAATTGAGTGTAAGTTGCAACTTAGTTTATTATTAATTCACGTATGCCGTATAATTGCGGGAGAACAGGAACGTAGCCAGGCCAAAACAAGGAGGGGGGTATAATCGTCGAATACACAGAACAACTAGGGGGCCGGGGTCCCCCGGAAAGGTTTTCTATTTTTAGGGTCTGCGAAACACTATTTCAATAATTTTCGCTGGGCCGTAGCTCGACACGATAATTGATGATTCCCCTTATTACGTTTTCGTAGCGCTTTGCATTGTGGTTATAGTGGTATCACTGATAAAGATAGCGGCCTCGAATGAAAATATTGAATGTTTTCGCGAATATTTTGCTGTTGGCTATCGTGCACCTGACCCTAGCTTTTTTAAAAGTTCTTGCACGGGTCGGGACAAAAAATAAGCCATCTTGAATATCAGTGATACCACTATAACCACAATGCAAAGCGCTACGAAAACGTAATAAGGAGAATCATCAATTTGGGGGGGGGGGGTTATATTCATATATTCATGTTTAGATACAGTAAAAACAATCGTTTTCAAAAGAAATCCGTCGGGCAGAACACGAATATACGAATATGCACCCCATTTATCCGTCTAGCTATACGGCCCTACATTTTAGACCTGTTTTACGATAAAGTCGTGTACGGTGCCGGAATTGAAAAATTCGCCTTCCAGTTCAAGTAACTTTGCTTTAAGGTGTTAATAGAGGTCATAGATAGCCTGCGAACGCACGCTCATTGACTCATCTTGGTTACATAGACGCCTAAGATAAGCTAAGCCATGGCTTCCTGGTATTGGGATTGTAAAACTGTTGATACGTAGGATTTCTTTTCGCCTCAGACACGCCCCCGCCCGCCCAGTTTTTCCGCAGTTTTGGAATAATTACAGAATTGGTCCTGTGGCTACGCCCGTGCGGAAGAAAAGGCCGGAAAGTAGCGGCTCCTCGAAATACTGTCCTATTGCTGATATGTTTGCTATTTTCAATATTTAGAAAATAAAGTTGAAGTATACGCCCTCTAGTTGGGTATTTGACAGAACAGAAATATATGTCAATAACGTTTATTGCTCACTTCTTCAGATCGACCGGTCTATCGTGTCACATTCACTTTGAGAAATACCGGCAGCAAGACTGTCATTCTCCGATCAAAACTTTCTTCTCCGGACCAAAGCTTCCGGTTGGCACCTGGGCAAGTCTACACGCTTAATAGAACCGTTCCAAACCAGCACGCAGTGTTCATCCACGTACACGATGCGGTCACGAATCAACGAGCTTTTGTGAATGGAAAAGCATCCTTCGTCCTTTTCCCGAAAGTATATCTTGTACCTTACAAGCAAGGTAGGTTTTCATACCTGACATAATCTCGTTCGGCGGATCACCTGAAAAATATAGGCGGAACTACGACGTTTCGCTCGAAACATTGAAGTTCGGCTCATATTTTTCAGGCAGTTGTATCTCTCTTAATCTTCAGCTGTCGATGTAGTATAAGTAATATAAACGTTTTGAAACGCATTGTGAAAACGTTTATGCAGTCGAACCTGTATTAAGGTGGCTCTGTGCAGTTTTTTAAAAATGGAAAATTTTGCGATTTAGCTATATCCGTGTTTCTGGACAAGTATTAGGCCTATCCTTGTTGAAAAAACAAGATGTAGTAGAGTTTGAATTTCTGCACACAGGTTTGACTATAATTATGTTCTGTACGGTCATGAACGCAAGTTGGGTAAAATGTGTACGGGTGAGTTTTGAAAACTATCAACATTGCGCGAATCCATGGGACGATGGATTTTACTCGAGGTGTTTGAAAAACGTACAAGCGTGTGTACTGTATGGTGTTTTCAGTCCTTCATTCAAAAGTCCATGAAAAAAGTAAAATCACCCCCTTGTCAAGTAGACCGCACTTTTTCGCTTAAAATCGTTCCTAGGGTCTTCTTGCTGAAAAGTGCGCTTATTAGCCAATCAAAATGCGTAAAGCGCTAGGAAATTTGCACCGTACTGTATTTCCTTTCTGCGTTGTATCTCCTTTTTCTGCATTATATTTCCTCAAGATTGCACTGCTGTCAGCCAATCAGAATTGAAAATTTTTTTATACACTAAATACTTCGCGATCGACAGATTTTGGTTTGCAACTAGCAATTTATATACTGTACGAGTAGCAAACGGCATCCTTTATTCTCAGATTTTGTGATTTACAACATCGTGTCATATAATTTACTATTTAATGTTGGATCACGATTTTTCTCAACTATAGAAATTGATTTCGTGCATTTTTTAAAATATTTTAGTTACGGGTGCACTGTATCCTCTCCGTTTCTCGGTCGAAAATAGATATAATAAAAAAATATATATCAAAACAACGCTACCCAAGCCGTATGATGTGATCACGTTCGATCCCAAGCAGAAGATAACAGTTTACGTGAACTCTTCATCAACTAAAGTGGTTGAGGTTAAAGCATACGACTTCCTTCAAAACACCGAGTTGCTACCCATCAATGGTCAATTCAGTATTCAGCTTACCCCTGGAGTCACCTCTTTAATTCCTTTAGCTGTACCTTCAGCAGACTACAGTAAGTAAAAACATTGATTATGTATTTCCAGTGCTGTAAAAGTTCCGCAATATGAAACTAGTTACGAAGTTACAAAAATTTTGCAACTAGTTACTATATATAATCACGATATTTTATAATACAAAACTTGCTGCGATAATTATGTGAAACATATATTATAATGCCGAGCAATAGCAGGAGTTAGACTATGGATTGAGTTATGTCAATTGTCAACACGAAGTGAATTACAGGAAACAGTTTAGCATTGTAGTCTGAAAACTTAAAACCCTTGGCCCGGTTGTTCAATGCTGGATTATGGTTAACTCTTGGTTCAAATTTAAGCTGCTGTTTTGGTTTATGTATTTCTGCACGCCTTCTTATTTCAAAACTTTAGAGAAGAAAACTCCTATTGATCCAGAGAAGATTTTTGAAGAAATGTTTCTAAATTTCTGAACAAGCTGTTAGGAAGTTCACTTTGAATTTTGGTAACCTAGAGTTAAGCTTTGAATTTTGGTAACCTAGAGTTAAGCTTTGAATTTTGGTAACCTAGAGTTAAGCTTTGAATTTTGGTAACCTAGAGTTAAGCTGGCCCAGCTTTGAACAACCGGACCTGCGCAACAGAACTAGTTACCGTTACCTTTTATCATTTTTTTACTCAAAATGTAACAAATACATGTAACTACCGCAGTTACTTGTAACGAAGTTACTCACAGCACTGCGTATTTCTTATTTAGTATAATCTGAATCTGTAATGTAGTGTGATCAGCCCTTCTCACGCCTTGCGCCTAGACCTTATCCCGTTGTCTGCCATTTTTTGAGGGGCCAGCTGCATGCACAGAGAAATTAACGATAGCAAGCGAAGAAGTTAATTTAGGAAGTAAAAACATAGTATTATTATTTATAAGTACTATTTACTTCACTTATCATCGTTTACTGCAGCGCGGTTTGCCACCCAAAAATGTCGGACAAGACCTGATCGCAGGCTAATTCAATTGACTATGTATCTCTGATTAACAATTACATTACTCGCTCTCGATTTCTATGAGGTGATAGCTGTTGAGGGCGAAGCTTGAATCAACTATCACCTCGTAGAAATCGAGAGCGAGTAGTCTAATTGTTTTAGAACAATCAGAGATCAAACATAACATATTCCACAAAATAATTCAATAAAAAACGCGATCCGGAAGCCTTTTTGATGCGCTAGGAAAGTGATTGTTTTGCCACTCCCTGTCTATCCAGGAATAGATAGCGAGTAAAATAGCCAATCAAATTACAGCATTTGCAATAGTATACTACAGAGACGGATTTTCATATTTTCGTTCGGGGCGGGGGGGGGGATAAATATCTGGGGGTGCTGCTGCTTGCTTTGGCCGGGGCGTGGTGGAAACGCCCGGAAAGGCCAAGGAAAAAGTTTAACAAAATTTGTTTTCTAGGCCTGCATGGCGAGATCTGAGACCATAATATTGGTAATTTTACAAATTTAGTAGTAAGAATAATCAAATATGAAACTATCAATCAGTGATTTGCGGGGGTGCAAAAACTTTTGGGGGCGGTGCCAAATGCCTTTGGGGGGGGGTGTGCAAATAACCCCCCAATGCGCAAATAACCCCCAAATGCGCCCGCACCGCCCCGTGCCTGGTATACTAGTATGATTCTACTAATATGGTGTATTCCTTATTTTAGCAACCTACTACTTCGTTTTGGGAGTGCACAACAATTACGGAAGTGATATCATACTTCGAAGCGCATTGGAATCACCCCACGATTCAATTCGTGTCCGTGCTGGCAAATCTTTGACGTTGACGCTCCAAACAAGGCAAAACACTAGCGTGGTGTTCACCGTCATTGACGCAGCTAACGGCAGAAGAGTGACGATTAATGGAAAAGCCATGATGATACTTAAACCTACAAAAGTACCAGGCGCACCACAGGACCTTTATTTCCCTGCAAAAGGTATGCGAAAAATAGCTTTGCGAGAATAATTTTGGACAATCTGTCCATGTTGAATTTCGTTTTATAGATATTTTTTTCATTTTCTAACTTTGAAATGAACCATATGTGTTTGCTTGCCATAACAAATAAACTATAAGGCTCTATGGTCGCTTTGTCCCCGTGAGAACAGTGAATGTTTTTAAAACGTGTGCTTTAGATGTCCAACGTGGCGATTTTAATAATAATAATAATAATAATATTTAATCAGGGGGTTCATATCACCAAAGGTATTTTTCATTGAAGCCCTGTGGAGAATTACCTAATAGAATTATCTGTGGAGAATTACCATGAGAAATTTTAAGACTAAGAACATGGATACAGATAGAACAAATATTTACACGATTAAAATAGTCAATATGAAATTCTCTATAAAATCTGTTTCGAAAAAGTCCAAGTTTATCAATAATTATAAATTTAGTTTAGTTTAAAGCCGAGAGTTTTCTTCTGAAGGCTTTGAGATTCGTCCCATTTTGAAGCGGCGACGCACGTTGTGACAGTTAAATTAGATTCTTAACGACTAGGCGAATTGTTTGGTTTTTCTGGCCTAAAATGGTCTGATTAAGCAAACTGCATGCAAAATCAATCACCGACGTTATAATCAATCAATTCGGTTCTCCGTCCCTTTATCCGTGCAAGGTGTGGGCATCCACGCGATCTGTTACCCAGTTCAGTTGGTCGCTCGCGGTTTGTTTTCTATGCATTAAGAACAAGATTTCTTATTCAACCTTTGTTGACTTTCAGATGTTTACTACGTTGCATTTGGTGTGAAGAACAGCTATGGCAAAAATATTTATTTGACGACAAACATGCCAGCACCTCATAATATCATCAATATTCCTAGAGATCGACAGATTCAAAGAACGGTCGTGCTACTTCACCAGAACTTGGTGAATATCCATGCTTTTGACGCTGCTACTAAACAATCCATTAAAATTGATAATCGAGAGTACATCACCCTGACACCCAACCGAAGCAAACCAACTACCTTACGTGTATACCACGTCCCAAGTGAAGGTAAATTGGACGCTAAACACATTTGCCTCCGCCTGGAGATTATGTTTTCATCTGCATTTGTACGTGCGTGTGTTTGTCTGTCAGCTCGATAACTTATCAAGCGTATTAAGAGGAGCTTTTTTTGTATGTTACGTAACACGCGCTCAAAACTAATGCGTATAATATATCGCTTGAGGTTATGACTAAATTCAAAATTTTTATCTAAATTAAATTTTTTTTCGATACGTTTCTCAATCGGCAAACAAACTTAAAAAGTGTGTTTAGTGCTTTATCTGTAAAATAATGTCAAAATGAAGAGATTTTAGATGATACGCCAAAGAGAAAATGATGTTTGAAGTTCAGTAAGTTTTGCTTATATGGCTGTAAATATGGCGTCAGTTTTAAAGCATCATTGATATTCGTATTTTAATTGACAACTATTATTTTATGTTTCTCAACCGGCAAATGCATTTAAAAAGGTAACTAACTCTATAAACTAGAGAATAAAGCTAAA